CCTAGGCCTCAAAATGGCTGCCCTAATCAGGCACCTGGAGGCTGCCAGCTCCAGGCCCTTAAAGTGGCAGAGACACCCTGTGCTCTGCCACACCCCCACTTTTCCCCTGTTTTTTGCATATATAAACTGCATGAAACATTCCCCCAGCAGCTCCACAGCTCACCTGGAAAAGCCCAGTTCTATCCATCACTCCACATAAACCTCCTCTGTCTCTCTCTGTTTAAACATGTTGAGGCTAAACCTGTTCCTCAGACCACACAGATGAAGCAATCACAGGGGCTTTTATAGGCAAAAGGGACTTGCCAAGAGAGTGCATCATCTCATCTAACAAGTAGGGCAGAAGACCAGTGTGGCTTAGCAGGGAACTCTTCAGTGAGTTAAACCATAAAAAGGAAGCTTATAAGAAGTGGAAACTTGGACAAACAACTGCAGAGGAGTATAAGAGTTTTGTTTGGGCATGCAGGGTGAAATCAGGAAGACCAAAGCATAATTGGAATTGCAACTAGCAAGTGCCATGAAGTGTAACAAGAAGGGTTTCTACAAGTATGTTAGCAGCAAGAGGAAGATCAGGAAAAGTATGTGTTCCTTACTGAATGTAGGAAGCAACCTAGTGAGAGATGATGTGGAAAAGGCTGAAGTGCTCTTTTTTTACCTCAGTCTTCACAGGTGAGGTCACTTTCAAGCTACTGCACCTGACAACACAGTTGGGGGAGGAGTTGAGCAGACAACAGTGGTGAAAGAACAGGTTAGGGACTATTTAGAAAAGCTGGACATGTACAAGTCCACGCGGCCAGATGGGATGCACCTGAGGGTGCTGGCAGATATGATTGCAGAGCTGATGGCCATTATCTTTGAAAACTCATGGTGATTGGGAGAGGTCCCGAATGACAGGAGAAGGGCAGATATAGCGCCCATCTTTAAGAAAGGGAAGAAAGAGGATCCAGGGAACTACAGACTAATCAGCCTCACCTCAGTTGCTGGAAACACGGAGCAAGTCCTCAAGGAATCCGTTTCTAAATGCTTGGAGAAGTAGGTGATTAGGAACAGTCAGCATGGATTCACAAGGGCAAGTCATGCCTGACCAAATTGATTGCCTTCTATGATGAGATGACTGGCTGTGTGGATGCAGGGAGAGCAGCGGACATGCTATACTTTGACTTTAGCAAGGCTTTTGACACTGTCTCCCACAACATTCCCACAAGCAAGCTAAGGAAGTACAATGTGATGGGCTAACCGGTGGTGGCTTGGCCTGGAGGTTTTGAAAAGTTAAAAAAATAATTGGTGAGGGGTGGGGATTTCCTTTTCCCCACCACTCAGGCCCCAGAAAAGGAGAAAACTTGCTCTCCTTGCTCAGGGGCCAGGCAGGGAAACGACCTGAGAGTAGATTCACCTCTCATGTGGCCTGATTGTTCCTCCTGCCACTTGGAGGGGGATAAAAGGGCAGTGCACCTGGCCCTGGGAAGAGAAGATGATGAGGGACAAAGGAGAGAAGTCCCAAAGAGCTGGTCAGCACGGCAGAGCACTTGACCCAGAAAAGCCTTGGAGCCTGGGAATCTTAGGAGGTGGCTTGGTTGAAGATTGGGGCTGCAGGTGGAGGCTTGGGCTCTGGCCACTCAGTGCACAGGTGGTGTGTGATGGATCCCTGGTTGGGAAACAAGCCCCAAGACAGAGGCGGTGGTTCGGGCATTTGACTCCTGGTAGGAAGGACGGGAGCTCAGTGAGCAGAGGCTGCCTGTGGCAGGAACACAAGCCCTGAGCTGCAGGAGGTGGCTTGGGCATCTGATCCCCAGCAGGAAGGCCGGGAGCTCAGTGTGCAGAGGCAGCATGTGGGGACCTAAGCCCTGAGCTGCAGCGTGAGGCTGGGATGTTCAGTGTGCAGATGGCATGCAGAGGAGCCTGGAGGGACAAGAGCCTGGTGGCACAGGCAGCTACCCAGGCATTAATAGCTCTGTGGTTGAGTTCTCATCTGCCTTGTGGAAAACCTGGGTTTGATTCCCAACTAAGGCACTAGAAAGGTGAGTTGCTGGAGTGGTGGAATCCCTTCTGGATTGAAG